CCAGTATTTTCGCCCCTTCCCAAAATTACTTCAACGGAAGGTTTCCAGATGGATATGCGGAGCAAATCCATCTGGCGGAGTCAGGTTAAGAAGATGGTTCTTTATTAAAAAATATTTTATTTTAAGACTTTCTACCCATTTTCTCTCCAAAATTATTTAGTTGTTGAGTTAACTTTTGTTTCATGCAACTGTTAACTTATATGTAAGAACAACTCCCACCTTCACAAGCACTTTCCCCTCCTGTCACTCCTGTTTATTTATTTTTTTTAAAACAACTCACAGTCCTGCCCCAGCAGACCAAGCCCCCTGACCTTCGCACCCCCGCCTCTGGCTTCAGTTATGCTCCATTATGTCACCCCCTGTGACTACCAGTGACAAAATATCTCTTTCCCTCATCTCACCCTTCCCTCCGTGCATTCCTTTTTTCCTACCCACCATTCATCCCTCGCTCAGCTACTCTGTCTGTTATCCGTCCCAGCCTCCCATGTTTCCACTCCTCATCCCTCGTTCCTGTGAGACAATGTCTTGTAACAATACCGCGTTTAATCTCCATGTCAAAGCAGTTTTTCCCCTTCAGCGAACGCTCACACACAAACAAACACACACATGCACTTTCACTGGGATGTCTTTTTGCTTTCCTGCATGTTTTACTTCTACTGAAAGATAGATAAAAACCAAAAGGACAGGTAATTCTTTACTAGGTTAATCTTTTCCAATATTTAGATGTTTTTATAAATAAAATGTAAACTGGTCAGAAGCCACTAAACATATAAAATTGTGCTACATATCCTTATCACATCTGTAAATTGAGAGAAATATCAAGTTTTCTACAAAATAAATTTTTATTGGATTTTCTCACAGATATCAATGTTATTCTACATTTTCGTAGGTAAATGTCACAATTCTGTTGCAATTACTCAAAAAGTGGCAAAAACTGGGATCCTTTGCTTGAGCTTATGCTGCATGATGCTCACCCTCCTTCTAGAAAAGTTGCATTATTGTTGCAAAGAAATAACATGTTTGTTTAATTTGAAATTTAAAGAAAGAAATTGATCAACAGAAATTTGAAAGAAGTGCTTTCCAAAATCCATTTGTCTGAACAGCAGCTCATGCATGAGTGTGAAAAGTCAGAGAGTTGGTCTGCATTATGTAACACGGAAAGGAGTGTTTTCAAGTTGTTGGTTACTCTAGAGTTTAATCTTTAGTTTTTCGTTATTTCTTCTTCATTTTCAATGTACCCTCTTTACTTAAATGTTTGTGTGACAACCTACTGTATACCGTTGCAGCACGGTAAAAACGACCCTGTTGATCCCTCAGTCAATATTTTCCTCTGGGGCAATATTACTAAGTTGCACCCTCTATAGCTAATGTGCAGGCAACAACATTTTCTTCACAAAAGTCTTAAATTCTGCAATACTAAAAACATAATTGATTTATACAAAGCAAGAACACAAAAAAATTGATACATAACATAAATCATTAATGGGTGTACAAGCCTCATAAAATGGCACTTATAATTAGGGTAATTATTTAGGGTTTGTCTTTTTAAGGACACATTCCATTCCCATTCAAGTCCTGAGTCAGTGGTATAAAAGTCAAAAAATCCGCTTAAGGATTTTTTTAAAGGCACATCTAAGGTCATAAAATTAATGACTGGAGTCCAAGTCAAGTGCTTCGAGTCTCAATCTCTACAGCTGATGTTGGTAAAAGAGGAATGACCTAAATTACACCTTTAGATGGAAAAAATGAAAAAAGAATGAAATAAAGAAAAAAATGAAGGTATTTGAAAAGCCCTGTCAATGTCCAAACCTCAAGCTGATCCAAAAGATGTGGAATGACTGCAAAAGAACAGCGTAGAAATGAATATTTGCAAAGATTAACTGCAGCAAGGTTGCAAAAAGGGACACCTTGTAAAACCCTCAAAATTAAAAGGAAACAATTTTCCTTGTAGCTCTGCAACCCTTAAGCTTCACTTAGGCTTAAAGTAGCTTTTTTGATAGATCCAAAGCGTTGTATTTGGATCCTGTTTCATCTCCCCCTTATTTAGATTTAGAGGGATTTATGAAGAAAATATTTAGTTACAGATCCAACTTCCTGCCTATTCATAAATGGGAAATTAGAGTTATTTCCATCTAAAATCCACCTCGCCAAATTAAAAGCAAATTCCTGCGTTCATGCCGGGCAGTAATCAGTGCTAGCAGTCATTCAGGGGCTCCAATGAAGGCAAATATGGTAAGATGCTCTCATGCAAATGAGGAAAAAGCAAACATCAGGTTATGACATAATACCCGATACAGTAGAAAACACTTGATGGTTTTACTATCAGTATCTAAACACAGCTGACATATTGATCCACTTCCATAATTTTGATGTATTCTTCTTAGAAAGTAAACATCACTACCTTTATTTTTTGATGTATTAGATTTAATACATGCATTTATTTTTTTTTACCCCCAGTTTAATCGGTGCATCACCTCCCAGCTGATCAAGTGGTTCAGCAACTTTAGAGAGTTTTACTACATCCAGATGGAGAAGTTTGCCCGGCAGGCCATCAATGAGGGTGTGACGGTGGCCGAAGACCTGACGGTGAGCAGGGACGCAGAACTCTACCGGGCGCTCAACATGCACTACAACAAGGCAAACGACTTTGAGGTAAGATTGGTTCTTAGACCCAAAAGTCGTACTATAGAGCCCAACGATAGTTGGACAAATTTCAATTGGTAGCACCCCTTATCACTGCCATAAAGAATCTGGGAAACAAATACTTGGACTGAGCTAACAAGCCTTATGCCATTTTAACCCAGTAACTGGCCTAATTTTCCACCTCTGCTTTAGAGGATCTACCCTGTCATATAATGGTTGACAGTAGGCTCACTGTAACAGTATGAGGCACCACATTGGTCTTGTGAACGGGACGGAGCCATTAGATTGCTTGAGACATAATCCTCTCTGAATTTTCCAACACTCTTTGTGACACAACCAATTTAAACCGGCCGTTACCAGAGAGCCATTCAGCTGTTAGGGAAAGGTCAATGGATTTTTACAAAGTTGACATTTAGTTGATTCTAGAGCCTGACTTGGTGTTTATCCTTCGCTTAAAGCAGATCTAACATATCCTTCACACCATTTGGATCTTGGCACACATGATTTCTCATCTTACATAACACATAGCTGTAAGTTTAAAGTAATACTAAAACCATGTAGCCCGCAGTGATCATTGCTAGCTAAGCCAATATTTTACATACTTAGCTTGATATGCAGTAATCTTTTTAAAGCTTTTTTGTTATTTCAAAGCTTAAACTTTACCCTTCAATGTCTTTTTGTTCATGTTGTCAAATATTCCCAGGTAGATGCTCTATTCCTAAACAAAGCAAAAAGAGAATTATATATATATATATATATATTCCTTTTGGACATAAAAACTGGTCTTGCAGCAATTTTTACTTCAGTGAAGTCTGTAATAGTGTCTATTACACCAAGTCTTACAATCTCTGATCTATAGAAAGAAAAAGTTTTAATCTTGTTTTGAGATCAATATACTAAGCCGACTATGTTAAATTTAGTGTTCCGCCGATGCCATTTTTTGGCCCCGATACTGATACTTGATACCTGGCTGTGCAATTCCGGACGATACCATACCGATGCCATCTGTTTGAAATTGATGTGTGAGTGTATATATGAAGAACTGTATACTACTTTGATGTAAAATAATTGCCATCATGGCTTTGTCAAGCTGCTGCCTACCTTCGTTAAGCAGGAAGAAGACTAATGCACAGTGAATCCAGTAGAACTTTTTATTGCCTACCTGGAATGGGTGACAATAGTTGAATAAACTTTTGCCACTCAAAATGGCATTGTGCCCTTATTGTCGATACTCGCCCATATCGATACCACCACCGATACTTTAGTGCAGTATCGGTGCAACACTATTGAAATTATCCGTCTTTTGAGAAAATTGTACTCAAAAATAAGTGCAATAATCTGCCAGTGAAGAGAGACAGTTAAACATGGTAAGACTTTTTGCTTAGAAAATATATATAATGCGTCCAAGAAATCTTACCATGTGCAATTGTCTCACCGCACTGAATCTCTTAGGAAGATTAATTTTCTAAGAGAATCTGCTCTTGCTTAGTATATCTCAGAACAATATTTTTTCAGGTAGATCTAACATTCTGGAACTTAGTTACAGAGACTCATTAACATCCTAAGCCATTAAATTGTTATAATGAGGGTGACATCTACATTGGAGTTTGAATATTTTTATTATTCAATAAATATTCAGAAATGACCTTTGCAAGCTCATGACCTCAACCAAACTTTAGGGTTTTGTTTAAAAGCCACATCCTTTACACAAATTTAAACCTTTTTAATAAACTTTTGCAATTCTTCCAAGAAGGACATTGAAATATCCATCCAGAATTATTCCAGTAGTGCCCATATATAAAATAATAAATAGATAGATATACATTTCTTTCCCTAGAGGTGCCAATTCCATCATTCCCTCTTAGTCTCTCCCATGCCCTTTATTGCTCAATTTCCTAGACAAAAACATTTGTGCTTTTTTTTCTTCATAACGATGTGAAAGCCCTGATCCCCTCCAAACTAAAATATGTTTGTGGATAAGGAATTCTTCATTTTAAAGTTTACTTAAGTAGTTTGCATCACTTTGTTCCCACTTTGGAGAAAGAATGGTCAATTAAAACCTAAACCAAAAATCAATGACAACATTTTTGAACAGCATAAATGCTTTACATCTGACATGTCTATTACCTCAGTTTCTTAAGTGTTTTTTTTGTGTGCATTTCATAAACCTTTTAGCTCATCTTGCTAAAAAAAAAAAAACGTCCTCCATCATGTCAGCTGTTTCCCTCATAATTCTGCTGAGGTGTGGATGTTACGATAATGTGTGTGTGTGTGTTCGATGAGACGAAAGAGGACGCGACTCTAGGCGCGGGTGTCCTTGTCAAAGCGATTTGCAGGAGTCACCACCCCCCCCATCACACTTCTTCCCAGCCAATATTGGTCTAAGGGGACCTGAGGGCCCTTAAACTGCGCAACGTAACATCAGCAGCATTTAGACGTCCATTAGGGCGCACCTTCCCGCTGACACGCACACTTGTCTTTTTTGCTCAGCAAGATGGGTGTTGAAGCTAAAATGCAACAAAGAGGATGATGTGTAGACAAAATACACACACTTAAACCAACCCTTTGGTAAAACGGAGAGGTCAGAGCATCCTATGTAAGGTAAAATGAAAAGGAAACTGTCTGCATACCAAAAGTCAGGCAGCTTTTTTACAAGGTGAATGGAAAGGTACGATCAGGAAACAGACACACATACAAATGTTGTGTTTGTTTTGTCTGCTCAACACAAAGGTTTTTTTTATTTAGGATTTAAAGATAAATTGCTGGAACAGTGGGTATTCTTGACGTCCTTGTTTAGGGATCTCTGAAAAGGTCCTGCTTTAAGAGACATTTGAGGAAGCTTCAAAACGTCCTCCATGTGTGGATTTATCTACATACAGAGGCTCAGGTTTTTGACTCATGCAGACTTATCTTGAATGCTTATCAAAGGCTGATTGAAAGGCAGAAAATCAATACAAATACTTGCAGCTAACAGCCTAAATTTGAAAGCTTTACCGTGTAATTGTGATCAGTGTATGCTGATAAGGACATTGAAATAAGGTTGTATGTTCCTTGAAGTGAAGATACATTTACTTCGTCTTCCATGACTTTGTTGCTTTCACCTCTGGTTTTCTTCACATCATTCTCTTTTAGGGAACATTATTGGCTAGGGACCGTCTTCCCCTCTCTCTCTCACTCTCTATCTCTCTCTGTCAAACTCAGAGGCATGAAACTGGAACCACAGCCGATTCAGCAAGTCTCCCGATGTATACACACACACACACACACACACACATAAGCTTTCTCCTTTTGCCAAATTTAGCATCATCTAACTTCCACCTTGCTTTGTCCCTCATCATAACTCCCTCTGCCCCTTCTTTCCTCTGTCTTTTCCATCTTCCACCTGAATGTGCCCTTTAATAATAAGCCCAGTCCCATCCTTTCCTTCACTTTGATATTTTTTTCTCTCTTTATTTAAGCTGCTGGTCCCTCAACTATATAGCTTTTGAAACTACCTTCTTCTGTTTTAAAACCTTCTGGCCATTTCTCAATTCACTAGAACGCGAGTATGGACTCGTGTTCTCGCCAAGTATGTTCTTGAGAAGAACACAGGAAAGTCTGGACTTGGTGAGAATGGGAGCACGCAGCATAAATCTGGGTCAATTGGAACAGAAGCGTACTGGTGATGTCATCACACGCTCAGCTAATAGTTTCTAGATAATAATAAATTCTGACTTTTTTCATTTAGAGGGGGAATAATAATGAACACAGTCAGATAGAAACAAATCAAATGAACATTTTGCCAAAAAAACCAAAAAAAATCGCCATCAGAGCCAGCGAAACTTAACAACCAGCTAGGCTGAGAGAGGGCTGCGGTTAGCTTTGGAGCTTCAACTTCGGAAATCTTTTTTTCAGTTACGCATTAAATCAGTAAATGGTTGACCCTTTAAAATATAATATTCTTGCCTCAAATGATCTTAAAACTTACTTTTATTGAACGACAGCAACAGAAAAGAGAACTTTAATTTTCAATTGAACGCTCCATTGAAAGCTTCTGCTGCCGCAGTGCATTCTGGGACAGCTGTCAATCTCAAGAACGGACCAGCCTGCTCTGATGCATACTCTATAAAGAGGGCGGGGCGAGAACAACATCCGGGGATTTGGTGCATTCTTGGTCTGGCGTTCTCGGCAATTGGAACAGTGCTCGGGCTGAGGCTGATGACGTGTCACAAGCACACGAGCAAACAAGAACGCTCAAGAATGCATATTGAGAAACAGCCTCTGTTTTAAAACAGTCTTCTTCTTCTTCTGTTTTAAGCCCATCTTCTTCTGTTTTAAAACAGTCTTCTTCTTATTCTACTGTTTTTAAAACCATATTCTTCTTCTGTTGCTTTAAAACCATCTTCTCCTAAAATAAAACAACACCCCCTAAAAAAACTGATGTTTTACCTACAATGTGGAGGAAGTATTTAATAAAATATCCTATATGTAGGAACCTTCAGGTACATATGGGGACATTCAACTGGTCCCCAAATGGTAAAGCTTTTTTCTTTGATTTTGGGGGTAGAGTTAGGTATATGTTAATATAGGTTAGGTATATGTCCGGGTTAGGCCATATAAAATGAATGTAAGTCAATTTCATGTCCCCATATGTCATAAAAACCAAGCTCTGTTTGTGGGGTGTGTGTATTTTCCAAAGTTGGCGTAAACATGCTTGAGTAATAATAGCAGCTTCATTAATTACCGCCTCTTCTTTCTACTCTTCTTTTTTGTTTACCCCTATCCTTCTTTGGTGCTCCTCATCTTAACAATTCTGTGCTAATTGCTGCTCTTCCCACTAACTAATGAGGAAAGTGGGAATAGTCTCATGTTGCCAGGACAATCAGGGAAAAGGTGTCAGCCGCTCGTTCTGCCAAAAGGTAGAAAAATGTTTCTCCTCCTGAAATTTTTGTTTGGTTTCAACTTCAAACAGATCGCCTAGCGTCAAACCTGCAACTCAGAGGGTTAGGAACGCCAAAGTGGTTAAATGC